AGGAGGAGGAGGAGACCTAAACATGTCTCGCTCCCACCACTTGTGTGTGTCTCTTTCTAAGACTGTGAGATTAGGCAAATTAGTTTCATTTTTAACTTCACAAAGTTGACAAAAGACACCAGCATCCTCCCATCATAAGTTCATACCTCATTTAAGATGGTGATGAGAGCCAGTGAATACTCAATAACAGGTTGGGGGTCACTCTGTTTGACCAGGCCTTGCAGCATCACCTCCGTCTTGTTGTAAAGCCACTGGGGAAGACTGTGGAATCCCTCCGGCATCCTGGGCAAGGTGATGACCATAGACCTGGAAAGGAAAAACAGCAGTGACTATCATACAACATGCTCTGTGTCTGATAAGCTAGCTATGTCCCCAGTAAGGAGAGTTTTCTATGTGCAGGGAGGGTGCTTGTGTTTCAAATACGAGGGAGCATTAAAACAACCGACTGGCAAGGATACAGCACAGTTCAGCAAAAAGGATATAGCAGAAGTGAAGGTTACAATTATTAGGATGTTGACAGTGTCTCACTTTCCCAATCAGGCACCAGTTTCACCGGTTGTCAAACTGTTTCCAGGCTCAGTATAAAGTGGGGAGGACAACTTTTAAAGTTCTAAACCAGAGGTCTCCAAACTTGGCAGCTTTAAGACTTGTGGACTTCAGCTTCCAGAATTCTCCAGGCAGCATAGCTTATCCAAGCCACAAGTCTTAAAGTTGCCAAGTTTGGAGATCTCTGTTCTAAACAACATGGAACAAGGTATTCAGCATCTTGTCTATCTTCCTACAAGTTACTCAGTCCATTGGTTTCTCTTGTTCTCTCCCGGAAACGTCTTTGCGCCACCAGAAATGCCGCCTTATCTGTGGCCCAGCAACATGGAACTACCTTTTCTGAGGATAACACCTGAGCTTTACCCCAGGTTGCTCAAATGCCAGAACCCCCCAAAACTGGCTTCTTTAATTCAGCCTTCCTTACATTTATTGTTACGCCTGATGTCTAGGTTAGCTTTGCATTCTTGATCTTCCTTGGCAATTATTTCTTTATTTGTCTGTTTATCCATGAAGCTGATATCCTGCCCTGGTCTCTTCTTCAAATCTCAAATCCTAAAGGACTCAGCACCCATTACCCTCTGCATCTCAGGCTTGTTGGATATAGGTCCACTTACTTGGATGCCCGATTTAATCAGTTCCCAAATATCTATCTAGAGAGGACGTGGTGGCGCAGTGGCTTAATGACGTTAGAACTGCCAGCCAGAAATGGCCTGCATTCCAGCGGTTCGAGTCCAGCTGTCTGAGACTGGATGAGCTCCTGCCGCTTGCTCCCTGGCTGCTGCCCACCCAGCAATTCGAAAGCAGGCAATATTGAGAGTAGATAAATGGGAAGCACTTTGTTGGGCTAAACCTAGCTGTGTTTGTGTGCACGGGGAATGGAAGCCAGTGGTGGACTTGGCTGGATGCGAGGCAACACAACGCAATGCAACATGAGATGAGGAGAGATGAGACCAGCGGAGAAGCCCCAGAAACCCAAGCGCCACTGGTCAGCTGGTGTAAGCTAGTTCACCCCATGGATAGGCATGAAAGCGCCAAATAGAATGAACTAACCATTCATTCTGTGAATTCATCGTGTTTAGCATTCGTAGATTTCCCTGGCATTGTATGCCATACTCTAAACAAACAAACAAACAAACAAACAAATAAACAACCTATCTGGAAAATTGCTCTGAGAAAAATGCAGACCCAGGAGGTGCTGAGAAGGCACGTGCCAAGCAGGAGACGTGAACAGAATGAACGAGCAATTCAGTTGTCAGGAGTCCATTGTGTCTAGCATTTGTAGATTTCCCTGACACTGTATGCCATACGCTAAATAAATAAATAACCTATCTAGAAATTGCTCTGAGAAAAATGCAGACCAAGAGATGCTGAGAAGGCGTGTGCCAAGAGGAAGAGGAAAACATCTTGGAGGATAAATGGTCCAGGAGCCGCATTCCCATTTGTCTTTGCCTGCAACCCATTCATCACCACACAGCTCTCCTTAGCAACTCGGACTGGACCACTGGATTCTTTCTTGAAACAAATACACTGAACTGCGCTTTTGTCACTGATTTATAACCTCAGAATGTATTGATTTCCTAGGCTAACCAAAGTGGCACTTTGTATCAAAAGAGCAATACATCAAGATGAAAATGAATGCTTCTTCCTTGGCTTCCAACTTTTACTCTTGGACCACAATGGCAGCCTAGGTAACAGCAAGGTAACAGGGGGTCCTTATGGGTGCCTCACTGCTCACAGCACCCAGAAGCAGTTTGCAAGACACAAGTGGAACACCCAGTAAACAGTGTGGCACATGATCTTCTAGGTTCACTATTTTATTTTATTTTTGCAATATTTTTTTTTAATTTTTAGTCTTCTAGGTTCACTATATGTGTCCAGCAAACACCAGCAAGATCTGTCTGTCTGTCAGCCTGGCACATTCACAACTCCAGTGTTTGGGGGCCTAGCTCAATTTCCTTTCTGCAATTATGCACCAATTTGTAGCAGTACAACTGCATTTCCAAGCATACTTTTTCTTAATAGCAACAGCCCATAGACTTATACACTGCTTCACAATGCTTTACAGTCCTCTCTAAGTGGTTTACAGAGTCGGCCTATTGCCCCCAACAATCTGGGTCCTCATTTTACCCACCTTGGAAGGATGGAAGGCTGAGTCAACCTTGAGCCTGGTGAGATTCGAACTGCCAAACTGTAGGCAACCAGCAGTCAGCAGAAGGAGCCTGCAGTACTGCACTCTGACCACTGCGCCACCGTGCCTCATCCTAATCATCCTTAGGAGTTTGGTTTTGGCTGACTTTGTCCGCAAATCAAAGTTATTTGTTTCCAGTCAGTTTACAATGCCTAAAGAAACCACCCGGCTTCATTTCCTCCACTTAAGAATGATATTCACTTTTTCCCACATGTCCCTTGTGATGTTGAAGTATGATGAGAGATTCCAAAAAATTGAAGAAGAAGATAAACAAAGAGACAAGAAGATTGGAGATATTGATAATAGATTAACAGTGGTTGAACAAGACAAAAGTGGTATGTTGAGATGGGAGATGGATAGATCAGAATTCTATCTTAGATTCCAAAACGTAGAGGAAGAAAAAGGACAAAACCTAGCTGAGATAATGATAGAAATACTGGCTGAAGCTTTGGAAATAACTCAAGAGAAGATGATTCATGGAATAGATGAGGTTTATCGAGTTTTCACAAGATATGCGATGAGAAATAGCTTACCAAGAGAAGTTCACATTAGATTTACAAAGAAAGCCATTAAAACGCAAATATTGCAAGTGGCAAAAGAGAAAACATTGAAATACAAAGACAAGGAGATTGTGGTCTTGAAACAAATACCCAGAAGAGTGAGAGATATGAGAAGAGAATACCGATTCCTGACTAAAATGCTACTTTAAAAAGAGGTGAATTATAGATGGCTGATTCCAGAAGGTTTAATGTTCACATGGCAAGAACAGAGACATAGAATTGACTCAATTGAGAAAGCGGAATTATTTTATACAGAATTTTTTGGAAGGAAAGAGGAAGAGGCAGAAAAAGAGATCTCACTAATTGAATTCCAAGAGGACTGCCAAATGGCGACTGAAAAAGAAGAAGGCACAGTAGGTGGAAAGGTGGAAGCCAAAGAACAACGTGAACTAAGATCTACGAGAGCTGCTAAACCTAACTATAAAATATAACCATGGAAGAGAAAAAATTGATTACAATTAATATAAATGGACTTAACACAGCCGTTAAAAGAAGGAAAACCTTTCATAAATTAGAGAAATTAAAATTTGATATAATTTGTCTACAAGAAGTACATATTAAAAAACAATATGAGCAATTGTTGGTACAGCCAAAATTAGGGAAAATATTTACTTCCTTGACACAATGTAAGAAAAGAGGAGTGGTTTTATATATTAAAGAGACCACCCCAGCAAAATTGATCTATACCGATGATGATGGAAGAATACTAATGGTGGAAATAATGGACAATAATATGAAAACACTCCTGATTGCAATTTATGCTCCGAATGACAAACAAGAAGAATCCTACAAAAAATTACATACAAAAATAATTGAACTGGACTATGCTAATATAGTTATGATGGGAGATTTTAATGGAATTGTAGACAATAAATTGGACTATACAGCACAGAAAACAATAAAGCAAAACAGAAAGACTCTCCCTAAATCTTTTTTTAAAATGGTAGATGAAATAAATTTAAAAGATACATGGAGAGAAAGAAATGCTAAAACTAAACAATACACCTTCTATTCAAATAGACACTTATCATGGTCCAGAATAGATATGATATGGATGTCAACAGAATTAATAACTAACATTCAAGAAATAAATATTGAAACAAGTATTTGGGCAGATCACAATCCAATGACAATTAAATGGAAAGGACAAAAAAGAAGATCTAGATGGACATTAAATAATACTATTTTAAAGGAAAAAGACTTCACACAGTGGATGGAGAAAGAATTGGCTTTTTTCTTTAGAGAAAACAAAAAAGAAGATACATCAATTCAGAATGTATGGGATACAATGAAGGCATATGTTAGAGGCTTGATAATAGACTATACAAGGAAAAGGAATACTATGAAAAGACTAGCCTCTAAGGCCCTAGAGGATGAGCATAAAAGACTTGAAAAAGAGCTACAGAAAATGCCACAGAAAAAGGACATCAAGCTAAAAATGGATATAATTAAACACAAAATGGGTCAAATAGAAAAAGAAGAATTAGCACAGAAAAGTAGAGGTGCTAAACAGAACTACTTTGAAGACGCAAACAAACCAGGTAGATGGTTAGCATACAAATTGAGAAAGGAGAAAGAATCAAGGAACATATTGCAATTAATAAATGACCAAGGCCAAGTTTGCCATGATAGCAAAGAGAAGAAGGAAATCATTCGAGACTTCTATGGGAAATTATATATGCAAGAGAATATTGATGAGGAAAGAGTTAAACAGTACTTACAGAATACTAATTTACCTCAGATACCTAAAGAGACTGAAAAAATGTTAGACAACAATATAACGATGATGGAGTTAGCTGAAGCACTGAAGAAGCAAAATAATGGAAAGGCACCAGGCCCAGATGGACTTCCGGCAGAATTTTACAAAACATTACAAGAATCGTTGAATCTTCCACTGCTAGAAGTTATAAATGAAGTTATGTTAAAGAAGAAGATACCTAAATCATGATCAGAAGCCTATATTATACTTATTCCAAAAGAGGAGGCCGACCCATTACAAATTAAGAACTATAGACCCATTTCTCTACTAAATGCAGATTATAAAATCTTTGCTTCAATATTGGCAGAAAGACTTAAAAAATATTTAAATAATTTTATCCATCCTGATCAAAATGGATTTCTGCCAAAGAGACAAATTAAAGATAATATGAGAGTAATCTTGGACACCTTGGAATACTACGAGGCACATCCTGAAAAACAAATGGCTCTGATATTTCTAGATGCACAGAAGGCATTTGATAATGTGAATTGGCGATTCATGTTATTACTGTTGGAACAGATGGGTTTTGCTAGAAAATTTATTCAAGCAATAGAAGCTATATATCATAAGCAAACGGCAAAGGTAATGATAGAGGGAGAACTGACAGACTCTATTGATATAAGAAAAGGAACAAGACAAGGGTGCCCACTGTCACCTCTGTTGTTTGTGTTAACTTTGGAAGTGCTAAACAGAAATATTAGAGATGAAAAGAATATAAAAGGAATGAAAATCAAAAAGGAAGAATTTAAGCTGCAAGTATTTGCGGATGATCTGGTTTTTATCTTAGAAGACCCTTTAGAAACAGCATCAAAATTGATAGAAAAGATAGAGACATATGGAAAGGTGGCTGGTTTGAAAATAAATAAAGATAAGACAAGGATTTTGACAAAGAATATGCTATTAGCAGACCTACTGAAAATTCAGGTCACAAATAAGATTAAGTACTTGGGGATATATTTGACAGCAAGATGTAGTACATTAAAAGAGAATAATTATATTAAACTTAAACAGCAGATAGCGCTAGATTTGCCGAAATGGGAAAATTTACAACTGTCACTAATAGGGAGAATTTCAACAATCAAGATGAATATATTACCCAGAATTTTATATTTGTTTCAAACAATTCCAATTAGGCTTGGAAAAGACTACTTTGAAGATTTAAATAAAATTGTGTTGAAATATATATGGCAAGATAAGAAAGCGAGAATAAAGTTAAAACTTTTGCAAGATGCTAGAATTAGAGGAGGATTTGGTTTGCCTAATTGGGAGTTGTACTACCAAGCTACAAATCTGATGTGGGTTAAGGAATGGATAACACTAAGAAATACTAGATTGTTGACATTAGAAGGACATGATTTGTTGTTGGGGTGGCACGCTTTTTTATGGTACAAGGGAACTAAAATACAGGGATATTTTAGAAGACATCATATACGGGAGTCTCTGTGGTTAAACTGGGAGAAGATTAAAAGACAATGTTATTTGAAAATTCCGGTCTGGTTATCGACTATTGAAGCATTTTCTTATCCTATAATATACAAAAAGGAACAAATAGTTAGATATGGTGAAATATTGAATGAAAAGGGTGAACTTAAATCTATGCAAAAACTAGAGGAACAAGGTATAAGATGAATTGGTTTTCATATGCGCAAATACACTCGAGGTATGATAAAGATTCTAAAACAGAAGGTTTCTATGACAAACTGACTGACTTAGATAAGATTTTGACAGGTACTGATGAAAAGATGATTAAAAAATTGTATGGATATTTATTAGAAATTAAACTAGAAGAACAAGAAGTTAAAGAAACTATGATTGCTTGGGGGAAGAATTCTGGATATGGGATCGATTTAGAGAAATGGCAAAAATTGTGGTCTCAAAATTATAAAATGACAATGTCAACAGCATATAAAGAAAATTTATATACGATGTTTTTCAGGTGGCATTTTTCCCCGACAAGAATAGCAAGAATGTTCAAGAATAAATCCGAAAAATGTTGGAAATGTCATCAGACACCTGGCTCATATTACCATATATGGTGGACTTGTGCGGATGCTAAAAAATACTGGACTAAAATCCACATGTGGTTGGAAAAAATGACAAAAAAACATATAGACTTGAAACCAGAGATATTTTTATTGGGAATTTTACCTGAAATATATAGTAAAGACTTGAAATACCTGATTGTAAATGTATTAACAGTGGCTAGGATTGTATTTGCTAAAAACTGGAAAAATGAGAAAATACCATCACAGGAGGAAATCATTAAGAAAATATTGGAATGTGCTGAAATGAGTAGATTGACATTTGAAATTAGAGAACAAGAGGATAAACAATTTTATAAAATTTGGGATCTTTTCTATCAATGGTTAGACAATAAAATACAGTAATGAAATATGTAGACTTTTAGAAAATAATAAATATATAAAGATGTACTTCTTTCTTATTATGTCTACAAAATGATTTTAGGATAGATTTGGGGTGATAATATGAACTGTTATAAAATAAACTAAGTAAATTATGATTATCTTGTAAAACATGAATGAATAAAAGTATAGTCAAATGATTGATTAATAATGATACTAAGGTATTTAATTTTTGATTGACAATATGAGATTATATGCAATGTAGTTGTAATTGAAGACTACGAAATGGAAGCACAAAACAATTTGTAAACCAACCGGCAGACTGTATGTACACCTATGGAAGATGGCTTGATGTTTTTATGTTTTGTTTGTTTATGTTTGTTTTTAAAAACCAATAAAATTTTTTTTAAAAAAATCGAAAGCACTGGAAAGGAATAGACAGTGTTATTCAGAAAAAAAATTAAAAACAAAATCTGACTTGAAGCCTATTTTTCTTCTATGAGGAATCTTGCCAAAACAAATAAATAAAAATGTCACCGTTTATTTAAAATTATGCTGATAGCTGCAAGGGCAATTTTGGCCCAATGTTGGAAAAGAGATACTTTGCTGACAGAATCAGACTGGAAACTGAAGTTAGGGAATATGCAGGGGTGGCAAAATTTACAATACTGTACTGTATATATCCAGAACAGAAGCTGGGCTGAATTTAAGCAAGTTTGGCTTCCCTCCTGCCAACACACATAGGGAAATTTATATTCTTAGAATATGTTTTTAAAGGGGAAATATTTGATATAAAGGAAATAACCAGAAACCAATAATTATATATACTTTGATATAATCACAAGTTGGATATAACAAGAAGGAATGTGGCACTTAATATTGCTTTTACTGATTGTTTTTAGTATTTATAAAAACATTTTTTATTTTATAAGAACATGCCCTTTTTTAAGATAAATATAGCAACATTCACATCATACCACATCATCACATCGATTACCATGGTTTAAAATTTTGTAGTGATTACAGTCATTTCTCAAGATGACATGATGACTTTAGTTTTATATATTCAATTAATTATTTAACCAATGAGATAAGGAATTCTAAATTTGATAACAATTGTAAATTCTCTACTTATTAGTTTGTTATTTTCCAGTCACTGAATCTCATCTCATTTTCTTCTTTTTTCCTTTTATGTTGTCTTTTATTTTATCCTTCAAAGGTTTTAAACTAGAGGTAAATGCATATGTGTACACTTTTATAAGTACATGGATGGGAGGCCACCAGGAAATTCTAGGGCTGTAGGAACTCTCCGCCCTCCCCGGGGTTTTGCCCAGAAGACCACATAGGTCTGTCCATGAGGCCATCAAAAGCCACATTTACCTGAATTCCAGGATCAGGTTTCAAGACCAAATTGAATGGGCAATGAATCCTCCACAAAAGTCCTTCATCCTATATTTCTCATGCCTCTTGCCGTCTTTTTAGGGCACGATCCTATAGGCCCAGGAGAGAACCCTTGAAGGCCTTTCTTGCCTGGCACTGGGGCAGGGCAGAAGGGAGAGGGAGCCCCCTGATCCGAGGGCCGAATGAAACCCCACCCCCCATGCTGCCATAAGATCCTGCGGTGATTTTCTCAACCGTTTGCCATTGATGCAAAGGTCTTGCCAGCGTTCCTTCCCAAAGGTGAGGGGACCATGCAAATGAAGAACCTGCTTGAGATGTGACTCATTGCTCTCAACAACCACAGTGGTGGGTCCATTGTGCAATTCACACACTTCTGGCCTGATCTTCAACACCCAGCAGCGAGGAAGCAAACAAAATGAGGATTCACTGGCTTTTAAAGAATTCTGGTTATGGTTTACAGAATGAAGTGGGTATGACATCTATGACAATTCACCATGACCAACTTACCATGGTTAACTCCCCACAGCCAACTTGCCATCTCCCTGCAGGACAACTCACTGCAGGACCTGAGTTACACTCATGCCAAAGAAATGGTGGAATAGAATCATTAAAGAAAGGATGCAAAAGGAAGGACAGAATGAAATGTAAGTGGCAAAAATTTAAAAAAAACTTTATCTATTTTAAATAATTAAATAGAATTGTTAATTTGTCCCATGGTGAGTTGGCCTGCAGTGAGTTGGTGAGGCAAGCTGTCCTCGAAGGGGGTTCATCCACGCTTGCTCCTTTGGCTTTGGAAAAAGAGAAACACAAGGTACCTGTATACGGCCACCACTGTTGCTCCCAACTGGTCCTGTACGAGCACCGAGACGGATACGAGGGAGCCATGCTCTCGAAACCCGGGAGGCAGGAAGGCCGCGTGGGCAGGGTGGCTTCCTTTGTACACCAAGAATTCATCGCAGTGGCCAGGGCGGCAACGGGTGGCCATGAGGATGTACACCAAGGGGGGGTCTTCTCCCACCGAATCTCTCCAGCCTGCAGCCAAACAGTGCATCTTATGAGAAAGACCTACCGCAACTGTCCCCAAACTTTCCGGCTTGGCAGCCCCGTGCGGGGGGAGGGGGGAGGAGATAGTTTCGTGTGAGTGGCAGGCACTTGCACAAAACATGTGCACAGCTCCATTTGTGTGAGTGGCAGGCGTGTGTGCCCGCAGCATGCACAAGTGGAGCTTTGCATGTGTAAGACCGTATCTGGAATACCTGACTTTGGAAAAAGTGCAAAGAACAACAAGTAAGTTGATTAAAGGCCTGGAGAGTAAAACATATGAAGAACGGCTGCAGGATTTGGGTCTGGCTAGTCTAGAGAAAAGAAGAATTAAGGGTGACATGATAGCAGTACTTGAGGGGCTGCCCCAAAGAAGAGGGGGTCAAATTATTCTCCAAAGCACTGGAGGACAGGACAAGAAACAAGGGATGGAAACTAATCAAGGACAGACTCAACCTGGAATTAAGGGGAAACTTCCTAACAGGGAGGACAATCAACCAGTGGAACAGCTTTGCCTTCAGAAGTTGTGGGGGCTCCATCACTGGAGGCTTTTAAGAGCCTAAACAGCCCCTTGTCTGAAATGGTAATAGGGTCTCCTGCTTGAGCAGGGGGCTGGACTAGAAGACCTCCAAGGTCCCTTCCAGCTCTATTCTGATTGATTCTGCCGCTTGTGTGAGTGGAGTGGCATGCACTAGCTGCCTGTGCAACCCAGTTCTGAACAGACTGCGGCCCAGTATGTGCCATGAGCCAAGGGTTGGAGACTCCTGGCCTACAGAACACACAGGCTCCTGTCTGGCTGCTCCATGACTAATGAGGATTTGAATGGATTAAGATGAGCTTAGGGAGGTCTGGTTCCAAACCCCAATCATCCATGAAGGTCACTGTGGATCTTTAAGCCCAGCTGGGGAGATCAGGAGACTCAGGAAGTTCAAATGAGTAGAAAGATTTATTGCAAGCTTAAGCTCTCTTCAAGAATCTGAGCTACTGACAGTCAAGAAAAATGAGCGGGAATTAAGAAGGCATTCAAGGTGTGCTGGAGTTAGATCTCTTGTGGGCGCAAAGGGACTCATGACTAATGACACATTTGACCCCTCCCTCAGGCTCAACCTGGTCATCTCCTACATCCCCATAGGCAGAGACATGGGACACAGGTGTTCCACATTCTTACCTGCGCATTCAAAGTGGATCTTGGTAGCCAAGGCTTGGACAGGACTTGCAGGCGAAAGCTGGCACGATCCCCCGAAGGGGGGCTGGTTGGGAAACAGGTCGATGGAGGCATAGCCTTCTTCCCCAGTGGCCAGGTCTGTGATGTAGAGAGTGAACGTGTACCCCTCCCCGTCCTCCAAAGCCCACGGACGCAAAACGAGGCTCATCTCGGCATCCCCTGTGGAGGTCGCTCTCTTGTCCAAAAGCAGAGATTTGTTTTTGAAGCTCTGGGCTGTCCATCTCGGCTTAGTCTTTAAAAATAAAAAAATGTAGGGTGGGGGCGGAGACAAAATACCCCCAAGGTTTACATTTTTAAAAAACTAACCGCGGTTCCAAATATTATCCCTGTACTTTTTGATAAAAGGAGGAGGGTCCATTTTCGGTCCCTGGCCAAATTTGGTGCTGACATTTCAGCCCCATTCCCAGGCAATTTAATGCAAGGAAAACAGGGAGATCCAAATCATTTGACAGGAAATCTTCTCCAAACTCAGATGCGATCCACTTCAGATTTCCTGCATTATCTCACCTTCCAGTGTATGGTTTCAGAAGGACAGAGAAACAAGGAGATATAGATTTTTCTACTGGACACACTGCTTTTATTTAGATTGGCCTCCAATTAAATGCAGGATGGGGCTGCTATTCACACAGTACAATGGCAACCGTTACACAAGTGCAAGGAAGGTTATGGGAATCATGAGGATGGGATCTTTGATCAATGAGATGACTGGAGTGCATTTTCTCAGACTCCTGGATTTTTTGAAATAACAAACTTAGACTTTATCCAGCTGGAAAATGACCTCATAAATCTCAAAATGGAGCAGCCCGGCTGCGAGGAAAAAGCCCAACGCTGCCTCTTCCTGCAGAAATTAACGGGTGTTCAAAATAGGCTGCAGGTTTAGGCATCAGCTCAGATTCTGCTCCTGTCTTCCCACCCTCCCTCAAGTGGGGGAATGTGCGGGATCAACAGACATTTCCACTCAATGTTTTGCTTGTGTTTGTTTTTTTTCTGACCTTTAATGCATTTTTTTACCTGAAAAAGGCAGCCAGGATATTGGGGCAATGGGGAGAATTGGAGCCAGAAGAAAAATGAACTGTGGGAGACAAGAACTGATCTCACAGATAAGCCTCA